ACTTTCAGATGAATGTATACTTCGAAATTGGCCAGGATCATAACAGTTTCTCTTTTGTTATACCACCAGTACTTCCTAAAGTCGTGCCCGTTAACGCACCACGATTTTAGGAAACATACGGGTCACTTGAGGAGTGCCCAAATTCATTCAACTAGAAATGTTTCTACTCTTTTTTTTTCCCGCGGCTGATAGCTGGGTCAAGTACTGGTGGTTTATCAACATTTCCAACCCCTAGGAAACCCCAGGCTTGATGTTGCTAATCTTGTCAGACTCCTTTTACATTTGGACACCTACATGATGTACCCCCATCCCTGAGCCTCCCCCATCCTTGAGACCCCCTGAGACTCACGGGGGTCTGGGACCTAGCTGGGACCCATCAGCCATGGGGTAAGAGAGATTACCTCCCTTCGTTTTTCTACTGACTAGTCTGCCTTCCAAACCCTTACGTCCCGAAAAACCATTTATAGCTCGTTCTTCTGTTTCTTCTGCGTCCGGACTCAGGTCTGTATTTCAACAGTTCAGGAGTGTACCACCGCCTATGGTCGCCTCTTCAAACTCTCTGTGTGGCATATGAAAAAAAGCTTGTAGTCCAGAGCGGATTAGTTTGAGAATCCGTTGATCTCGGATTGTTAGCCAGATGATCTTATCCAGAGTCCCATGATTTACGGCTCCAGGGCCTTCGGCCTCCAGGGATCCTTCAATGTACCCATTGTGCACCATGAAAGGTACCCATTACAACATTAAGGGCCCTGTGAGCACTACGTCCCGGTCTGAAGCCATGTGAACAAGTGGAAAAGCGGGGTTCATAAATAGGTTCTAAGATCATTCTAACAACTTGTCCGATCCTGTCCTGGAACCATGATACTCCCAGTGGACGCTTTTTGTGCTTCCCTGAGCTACCCTTCTTCCCCCGAATACAACATACCATCATTATAGCTGTGTATTTAGACCAAAAGATATACCCCAAATAAAGCTAATAATGACCGTACATTGTTTTTCGGGGGAAGAAGGTAGGCCAGTCGGTCCCCCTCAACTGTCTACATACAAACTAAGCTCTAATCCATATACACCTTCAGATAACAGATTCATTGTTTTTTTTTCATTTTTTTTTTCCCAAAAAGTCCAGGGTGTTGTAGAGGCCAGTCAGTGTGTGCACAGTGTGAGCCGCAGGTATCCTGGAATATGAGACCACCTCCCAACCCATCCTCACGTCAATACTCCTAGCGCACCCCCTATCCCACTATCCTACCTCAGTGTGGCCAGCACTCAGGACCATTGCCCTACCAACAGCCAGGCAACTTGGACCGAACAGCCATGATCGGCACCAGGGCTGATAGATTGCCCAGCCCTGGTGGAAGCGGAATCGGACAAACCTTGTCGAACGGGAACTTCGGACGCCAGGCCCAGACAATGAACTACAGGCCCCACATATAGCCACCAGACAGTTCAATCCGAACGTCAGTAGAAACTTCACCCAATGTCACACTATCCAACCTACCTGAACCTACTGCAGGCACTAGACCCCAGCATTGACTTAGCTCCCCAGCCTGTTTTTTTGTGTGCATATTCTTTGAATCTATGTAGACAGTATCATGTGTGGAAACTTATGTAACCCATAGGCAATATATATAATTCACAAGCTATGTGGGTATGCCCGAAAGCTAGTGTACTCGGTGAATCATGTGTGTATGGAGGAGAGAACGGGGCAAGCTGGACAAGGACCGCCCCCAAGGACCGAACCAAAGCTCGAACCCGTAACCTTGTACCAACTAATCCAAGACTCTACCATATGAGCAACTACCCAAAATGGAACGAGCATGTGATATGCCAGACTGGGGAGAACATCAGAACACCCGAGACCAACACCCCAAGCAAACCCTGTGAAACCCACGACCAACATACAACACCCTGGGCTACCCTTGGGTGGTGCGCAGGCAGTGTCTGTAATAGCTTACCATGCGTCAGCCCAAGGGGATGTGCGTCCAGCCGTGCATCAGTCTAACGCCCTGCCCGGTGTTCATGCACAAGACTGGGGGGGGTTGAACCCGCAACCTTATACAATAATGCACATTTCCAACCGGTGCTTTAACCAACTGACTGGACGGTCGTGATATCTGAAGGACGTCGTCGCCCTTTTAAACCACCAGCACCATCAGTAGTAAACCACCAGCACCATCAGCAGCCAGTCTCGACTTTCAGGCGGGCGGGCCGCAGCCGACATATGGGAAAGGTACTACCGTCTTCCCCCGAACATAGCACACCCTGATAATGAATGTATGCAAGTCTTTCCGGTCCGGTGCAGCCATAATGAGGGTGCGTTGCGTTCGGAAGAAGACGGTAGGGAAGACCGTAGTGGTTTTACAAGAAGAGGACAGAAAAAAAATCACAGAGGAAGTAAAAAGGAAGAGAGTAGGTAGAGTCAAACCCCTGGGTTGCAGGGCAATCGATGCTGGGAGGCCCCATGGTCACTGTTCTCAGACATTCTCATTTATTCTGTATATGGGAAGCTGGACCCGCTTTCCAGCAGGTGAAGCTCCCCACCAATAGCCGGAGTTCCTCTTAGGGGCTACGTACGGGTGATTGCTCTTGTCAACAGCCCTAGCACCCCGAGGGATGTTTAAACAAAAACAAAAACAGAAATAAAGATTAGATTATGATGATTGAACCACACGCCCGGGGTGATTCAGAACGATTTTATTCTTGTTATCTGGTTGTATCCAGACTGGAACTCCGGTCTGTATCTCGACAGTCCATGATGGTACAAACTGAGCTCGCATTGGAGATTCGACTCTTGACCTGAGGGAAGGACCCGACCACAACGCAGGTTACGTGACTCTTGAATCGAGACCTTCACATCGATCCGATCGGGCCCAGGAAAGACAATTTGTTGAAAGTTAAACCGACATGGAAAAGGAAGGATCGCCCAAGAGGGACTGTCCTCTCAGGCCTCAACCGAGATGGAAGTGAACCCCAATAGTTCCACCAGGCCTGTAGCCTCCTGTAGCCTACCTTCACATGAGTTGCCTACCTGCAAATGGGAATGACCTCGCGGCGCCTCGGTCCCGTCATCCGCTGCATCCCCCCTCAGATCATCCATCTCCAAGGGTGGATTGAGCTAGTTACCCTCTTGATCCATTTCGCCCCATAACCCCCCTCCCACTACTCTGGCCCGTCCCGTCATCTGCTGCATACCCCCTCAGATCATCCATCTCAAAGAGACGTCTTTACCTACTTCCATCGACCACCCTCCCCACTTCCCTACCGGTAGTAATCCTCTTCTTCCCCATCCCCATAAACCCCCCTCCCGTTAACCTGACCCCTTCGGTAGCATATGAGCTGCCTCTCCTATTCTCGACTGAGCCTCCGTTGCCCCAGCATCCCCTTGACATCCCTCGCATCATCCGTCTCGAAAGAAGGGTCTTGGCCAGCTATACTCTTCTTCCGTTCCTTCACATAACCCCAGTCCCATTACCCTTTCCCCTCCGCAGAATATGCACTGCCGCCCCTCTTCTCACCTGAACCTCCCTTGGCCCTTTCTCCTCCATACCGGGACAGCTACGCCCGCCCCCGCTATCATTTCTTCCCCCTCACCCTTACCCCCTCCTCTCCCAACACTCACCGACCCCGATACCCAGCCTCCACTGATCCAATTACAACTGTGCAAACCAAATTGAAGTCTTGACCCAGAAGTCGTTACTCCGATGATGCTCGGTTGCTCTTTTTCATTTTCTGCCAGTGTTAGAGCTGGGTATGAGGCAACTAGACTTCAACCACGTTCGTTTTCCCAATGTGACAAATTGTTAAGGAATAGTAATAACGGTGACTAGGTCGTTGAAACACTTAAAAGACTTCAATTACTCCAATTTGCGATGGTGCGGCACACCTCCCGTACTCGTGACCGAACGGCCGCCCCCATCTTATTATTAAGGAAGCTGTTCAGCAGACACAGTTATTCGAGAACGATAGGGCTACCTTCCGAATACAACGTACGGTCATTATACCCGCATTTGGGCTATCATGCCGTCTAATCGTGTGATGCACGACATCTTGCACGGTTTGGTCGGCACTTTAGTAGACTGGATGGGTGAAGGGGCAACCATTGCAGTGGAACTTTTGAAATACAGCTATAATGACCGGACGTCGTATTCGGGGGAAAAAGACAGATAGCTGAGAGGCAGGCAGCAATCTTCACTTGAACGACGCTTGCCCCTCGTTTACCAAATGAGATCAAGTTCTATTTCCCAGTACAGTGAGGGCAAGGAGGTCGGTGAAACGATGACGGGGAACTACGCGTGAGTCACAAACATGAATTGAACTGCAGTACGGGCCATGATACAGTTTCGACTGTAGGAATACAACCCAGCTTTCTGGGCAAGTACGGTGCCCGAAGTGCAAGTGCAAACCGTATCTCGGCCCATAATGCTCTATTTTAACTCGTTTTTATTACCACTTATTCCATACACAACGCAGCTAATCGGAAGATACAGATAATCAAACAATGAATCACACTGCTGGGTAAGAAAGACACACAGCTAGACTTAAGACGACCCTTTTCCATCGTCGCCAATTATAAAGACTGTCTCCCAGCTAGTGTAGGGAGGTCGTTGAGACAATGAATCAATTACGCACTCCCTTTTTTATCGTTTCCGTGGTAAAACAATTCTATTGCAGAAAATTGAAAGACGAGATGGATCAACAAAAGAATAATCACTGATTTCAACAGCACGATACGCCTCCCCGCCTCCAACCAAAAGCCCTCAAAGAACAAACCGCGCTCGAGATAGATCGACAAAAGAGTTAACACTGATCTCAACAGCACGATACGCCTCCCCGCCTTCAACCAAAAGCCCACAAAGAACAAACCACAAGACAGTTTATGTGCAGAGACCGTAATTCCACATCTGTCATACCTCCATAACATCCAGCAGCCTTCTCAGACCACAAACGGAACTTGGACCGAGGACTCGTCTACGTTCCGAAACGCATTCACCACACCACTCACTGACTGCACAACTGCAACAAAAGACGATTATGGCGAAACACAATGGACACAGTCAATTTGCACAAACGCAGCAATTATGGCGTTGAATCTTTCCATTTCTTATCGAACACCTCGTTCTCATTCTGCACATCTAATGAGATACAGCAAGAGGCCAGCAATAACAGCCGTAACAAATGGTCAGATATTCCACGACAACGAAAAAAATGCTATGCTCCAATCACGTGCCACTCAAAGAGGCTGGCTCTACAATGCCTCTCCTACTCCATCAGGATTACTATACAACTAAGACTCTGGCAGAAGAACGCCGTCCATCATAACTAAGCTCCCGCTCACTTACAGGTAATATTTGCTCAGGCCACAGCCCCCGGTTCGATCGGAAGACACAACCCGTCGTCTCTTATCGACTCACAGACTGAACCACCACTGTGATGACAATAGTCCACATAGTCGTCAGCTTGCCCCACAGGCTGCAATACCAGAGCCCGCCATTCGCACACATTACCTCGAAAGGTGGAGGACCACACTGCAGCGACGTAGCAATTGCCCCACGATAACAACGCGAAGGCAGCGCGCTTAACTTTAATTTGTTGCGCGCGCGCCGCCCGCTTATCGACCTTCCTGTCACCAACTCCCGCGCAGTTCCACACACAGCTGTGCCGACCGCAATCCACCACGGACGACTCACCCTGCCTTCTAGTCCTCACATGCGCGGCCGCCCTTATACATGCACATCGACAAGCGATTAGAAAGCTTAACTAGGCGCAAGCTGGTAAAACCAGGTCATGAACACATGACGCCAGCACGCTTCATACCAAAGACATCAACGAGATAACCGCGCCTTCATCACGCGCCGTCGATCACTGGAGACGACGATGACGAGACTCGTTCACCCTGGCGGACCAATACGCGACGGCAAGATGAAAGCGATAACGCGTCCTTGACCTACCTAGTTGCACCACGCATAAAACGAATGATCCTCGACTTCAACATCCTCTGCTAGCGCACACATACGTAGAGTCCTCACTTCCACGGCGTCTTGATTACGCCCGTCGATCACTGGAGACGACGATGACGAGACTCGTTCACCCTGGCGGACCAATACGCGACGGCAAGATGAGAGCGACAACGCGTCCTTGAACTACCTAGTTGCACCACGCGTAAGAAACGTATGATCCTCGACTACCCGCATACTCTGAGATAGCGCACACATACGTAAAAGTCCTTCCTTCCACGGCGACGACTCGATCCCCATCAATCCCGACATCATTACCATTACGAAGAGAAAGTCCTTACTTCCACGGCGACGACTCGATCCCCATCAATCCCGACATCATTACCATCACGAAGAGTGACATGAAAACAGAGGCAAGGAGAAATCTCCTACCCCGCAACGACTTCGCGGCAAAATTCTTGACGCCTCGAATGCCATATCCACGTCTATTTCGTCATACCTACGCAACACCCACGTGGATGCGAAGTACGTTACGCGACATCCACGTGGCCGCTACATAAACGTCATACCTGTGCAACATCCACGTGGATGCGAAGCACTTTAGCGACGTCCACGTGGCCGCAAAATAAACGGCCATTACGGAGCTCAAAACGACATCTAATCGCACCCGTCAACCGCGTTTCAGTTAGGACGACCGCGACAACAAACGTCGATGAACGAGACAAGTCCAGCTACTCCTGAAAGTAATACCTACAGCTCAGTCGACCTACAGAGTAGTTCACCACATCAACAATAGGAATAGATATGGAAACAGACTCAGAGAAATTCCCCCTCCCCGTTTCATCCACGAAGACTGCTGAAGTAAACAACAATCAGATCTCGAGTCCACGTCCAATCCGTCGCATCTATGCAACATTAACGTGGACGCGTCGTAATCTGCGCGGAGTCCACGTGGCCTCAACGCCAACGGAAATCACGGCACTCAGATTACATCTAATCGCGCGTTTATCAAACGAGTTATCAACGTCCACGTGGCCTCTACCTTAGTCAACCTCCTCCATGCGGCTGCCCTCTTCGGCGGCAGTTTCCTCCTCCAGAGGCGGCATGTCCTCGTCCTCCGCACCTGCGTCCTCGTCGATGCTCAGACCAAGTTTAATCATTCGGTGAATTCTGCCCGCGAACATGTTGGGATCATCAAGACTGAATCCCGACGTCAGAAGTGCCGTCTCAAACATCAGCATCACCAGGTCCTTGACAGTCTTGTCGCTTCTGTCCGCTTCCGCCCTCTTTTTCAGTTCTTTCATGATCGCGTTCTCCGGATTGATCTCCATCGTCTTCTTACTGGCCATGTAACTCGACATGCTGCTATCCCGAAGAGCTTGCGCCCTCATGATGCGTTCCATATTCGCCGTCCAGCCATACTCGCCAGTGACCAGACAACAAGGGGAATCGACAATACGATCGGAGACGACAACTTTCTCGACTTTCTCACCGAGAATCTCCTTCATCAGCTTACACAAACTCTCGAACGCTTTCTTCGTCTCCTCTTTCCTCTTTTTCTCCTCCTCCGTGTCCTCCAGCTTGAGTCCCTCCTTCGTCGCCGACACGAGCTTCTTCCCGTCATATTCCTTCAGCTGCCCGACGGCGTACTCGTCGATCGGATCGACCATGAACAGCACTTCGTATCCCTTCCTCTTCAGCTTCTCCAAGAACGGCGAGTTCTCGACTGCCTTCTTGCTCTCGCCGGTTATGTAGTAGATGTCCTTCTGCCCATCCTTCATCCGCGTGACATAGTCTTTCAAGCTTGTCATATCGTCACCGGACTTCGTCGAATGGTATCTCAACAGATCCGCCAACTTCGCGCGATTCGTGCTATCCTCGTGAATACCCAGCTTGATGTTCTTGGCAAAAGCCTCGTAGAACTTCGCGTAATCCTCTTTGTTCTCGGTGATCTCGGTGAACAGCTCAATACACTTCTTGACAAGGTTCTTGCGGATGACTTTAAGAATCTTGTTCTGCTGCAACATCTCGCGAGAAATATTCAGAGGCAAGTCCTCTGAGTCCACGACTCCCTTCACGAAGCTCAAGTACTCCGGAATGAGCTCCTCGCAGTTGTCCATGATAAACACTCGCCTCACATACAGCTTGATGTTGTTCATCTTCCTCTTGCCATCGAAAAGATCGAACGGCGCACGTTTCGGGACGAACAACACGGCTTTGAATTCCAACTGCCCCTCCACGGAGAAGTGTTTGACGGCCAAGTGCTCCTCCCAATCGTTCGTCAAACTCTTGTAGAAAGCCGCGTACTCTTCCTTCGTGATCTCGTCGGGATTGCGCATCCAAATCGGCTTCTGCTTGTTGACCAACTTCCACTCGTGAGACACTTCCTTTACCTTCTTCTTCTTCTTCTTGTCCTTGCTCTCGTCGATCTCCTCAACCTTGCCCTCCTCCTCGTCCTTGTCTTCATCCTCGTCGTCAGACACCTCTTTCTCCGTCGTCTTCTCTGTCCACAGAGAGATCGGATAACTGATGAACTCAGAGTGCTTCTTGATCAGGTCCTTCAACCGCCGCTCCTCGAGATACTCCGTCTGGTCCTCCTTCAGGTACAAGGTGATCTTGGTACCTCTCTTCAGATCCTCGCCTGAGGTGTCACACTTGACAGTGAACGAGCCGCCTGCCTGAGACTCCCAAACGTACTGTTCGTCGTCGTTGTGCTTAGTGGTGACGACAACTCTCTCCGCCACTAGGTACGCCGAATAGAAACCAACTCCAAACTGTCCGATCATGCTGATATCAGCACCAGCAGTCAGAGCCTCCATGAACTCCTTCGTGCCGGATCGCGCAATCGTGCCGAGGTTATTGACAAGATCTGCCTTCGTCATGCCAACTCCGCTATCGATAATCGACAGCGTCTTGTTCGCCTTATCCGGGACGATGTGAATGAACAGCTCTGGCTGCGCCTCCAGCTTGCTCTTGTCGGTCAAGCCCTCGAATCGGATCTTGTCCAGTGCGTCGGAGGCATTGCTGATCAGCTCCCGTAAGAAGATCTCCTTGTTGCTGTAGAAAGTGTTGATAATGAGACTAAGCAACTGATTGATCTCCGCCTGGAAAGCGAAGGTCTCCGTCTCGAAGTTCATGCTCACGTCCTCAGCAGCAGGAGCAGAGGAACCCGGCATCACGTCCACATCCGCCATCACGACCTGCTGAAAATTTTGCGCACCACAACAACAATAACCAGCGTGAGGGAGAGCAAGTGCCTACGCTGCGATGACAACGTTAAGACAAGCTGATTCGTGATTTCAGTACAGCGTGAGAGAAGCGCGTGAGTGCGTGCTTCAGACCAGCGTGAGAGAGGGCGCGCAAGAGGACTCGTGAGCGCTTACCTGCGCGATTAGAGCGTGAGCAGAAGCGAGCGACTGCGTAAGGACAGTGGTGAGAGACGTCGCTTGCGCGCGCGACTGCGGTGAAGCAGAGATAGAGATGGGTAGGCACGGACTACAGTGGGCGTTCGAACGGATTGAAACCCTAAATCGTAACAGCAGAGATTACTCGTGTTCCCGATCGCAGACTGGTGCACGGATTGGCGAGTGCGACGACAGCTGATTGCCTTAATTTGACACTCGCAGCGTGGGGTCTAGCTGCTTTTAAGCCTTGCCCATGGGATATGGGTTCCTGCTCGTGCTCGAAGATAGCAGTGGGGCTTCCTGAAAACCGCCTGGTCCCAGCCCGCTCCCGCGCATCTGTCCTCCAGACAACCGAAAAATGAGAATGCAACCTTCGCGAAACATCGGCGATTGGGTTCGCCCGATCGCGGTCAACCCACAACTTGCCTTTCCCACTGGATGGATGATTCGCGAAGGCGCATTCGCGCCCATCGCCCTGTCCCCCTGCAAATTCGCGCCAGCGAAGTCGCGGATTGATCGTTCTTCCAGAGGGAGCCATCCGACCTTCGCGAAGCATCTGTTTCCATTCCACTTCGAGTTCCGCCCGTACCCTCCGCGTGCTACCAAGCGCAGTCGGAGTCCTCCCGCAGGCGCTACCGGGTAGACGTCGCAACGGTATCCGTTGAAAAAAATTCGAACTATCCAGAGAATCCAGAGAAGGCTGGCATAGCCCTCTCGGACAGACCCCCGTCACCTAGATCCCCTTCACCGGCCCCGGGGCTGGCTCCCACCTGCGCATTTTCGGCTTAGGAGGCTATCACGAAGCGAATGGCGGGCGCCTAAGGACCATGGATTGACGAAATCGATGGTACCTAGAACCCCGCCAGTCGTTTCGTGGTAGCCTCCTACAACGAAAATGCGCAGGTGGGACCGAGTCAGGGGTAGGATACTTCGAAAATGTTCCAATTGTCTACGGCGTGGGCGCAGGGAACGCAGCCCTAAGGTAGCCAAATCAATGAGACTAAGAGCTAACACAAGAGAGAGCGAGAGAGAGAAAGAGAGAGAGAGAGAGAGAGAGAGAGAGAGAGAGAGAGAGAGTTTTGTTCCATTTATTGTTATGAGTGTGAGAGAGAGAAAGAAATAGAGAGAGAGGGAGGGGGGGGCCTACCAGAGAGAGAGAGAGAGAGAGAGAGAGTGAGTTTTTATCCATTTATTATTATGAGTGTGAGAGAGAGAGAAAGAAAGAGATATAGAGAGAGAGGGAGGGGGGGGCGCTACCAAGGGGGGAGAGAGAGAGAGAGAGAGAGAGAGAGAGAGAGAGAGAGAAAGAGAGAGAAAGTTTTGTTCCATTTGTTAATATGAGTGAGAGAGAGAGAGACAGAGAGTGGGAGAGAAAGAAAGAGAGAGAGAGAGAGGAGGGGGGGGGCCTACCACAGAGAGAGAGAGAGAGAGAGAGAGAGAGAGAAGATGCTGAATGGCAAAATTGAAATATGGGTCAAATTGCGGCCGCGATCTATTTCACAATTAGAATGATTTTTTTTAATTTATTGAGCGTATTTCCTGGAAAGATCACAACAAAATCTACGAGTTCTTCAATTTTCAGGTTTTTTCATGCATTCTTTTGAGTGCGAAAACTCACTGAATTTGGAGTACTTTTTTAGTTGGCCCACACATGGTTGAGTGGCAAAAATGGAAAATGTGTTGAATCTGCGCGACGATTATCTCGCAGTCTAAATGATTTTTTTTAAATGTTCTTATATTATTCCTGGGAAAAACAGAACCTCGTATAAGGATTCTCAAAATTTCAGATTTTTTTGCGGGTTCGTCTGAGCACAGAAAATCACCAAAGATTCCTCTTGGAAAACGTTTGTTTCGTTGTGCCGACCACCCGGTTTTGAGAAGACAGGGCTCAACGCCTGGGCCTGAGGGCCCTTTTGCAGTTCACATGCCCTCACTTTTTTTTGGGGTCCGCTTCTACCGAGGACCGGTCCAACGCCCCCCACTTCTTTTTGGGGTCCACTTCCACCTTAGGACCGGTCCTTGCTTTTTCCAAAAGGCCCGGTCATTCCAAAGCTGCCTGTAGGTAGTTCCCAATTTTGCCAAGGACTGATCCCCCCCAAACTTTTGCCCCCTAAAAACCCACTTTGCGTCCTGGTCGCCCGCCGCCGAAAATGTGACACCTTGACGCAGACACCAAAGCCCACTATACCGCAGCCTTAGGTTTGCGAATTGACTTACCGTAAGGGCACGGGTGCGCAGCCCGTAGTTTGTTTCGTTTTTGCTATGGCGAGGCACTGTGTGTGTGTGTGTGTATGTGTGAGAGAGAGAGAGAGAGAGAGAGAGAGAACATCATTGTTTCTGAATCTGGCTCAAAACTGTTTCCAGATTTAGACAAAATCATCCAGGCCGATTGTGCCGAAGTGGGTGGGCTGGGCATGAGGCTGTAGGCCTGGGTCCACGTCGTTTCATATTTGAATTTCAAGGACATGCGGCCCCCACGCCGTTTCAAAATATTTTAGACCACGGCCACCTACCGATTCCCAGGAAAATATCACGGGCAGCGTCGTTTCGGACTTTCCGCCCCAACCCCCGCGCTCTTTCCTTTTTGAAACTCGCAGCTCAAGGACCGCGGCCTGCGCCAACCCTGCGTGGTCCCACGAGCAGTTACCGGTCCACTATTTCCAAAGAAACTGCCATTGTAGCCCCTAAAGTGCCCTGCCTGCCTGTGCCTGCATTTTTGGAGCCTTCCAACGACCAACCAGCGGGAATGAACGACCGGCATAACGAACGACGACGAAACATGTCTTCCACGGGGGAAAACGCAACCCTGACAGGGTTGCGAACATCCCTTGTATACGTTCATTTTCAGGGTGCGTGTGTTCGAGGGAAAACGGTAGGCAGATTGGTACCTGTAGCTAATTCTTTAAGCCCAACCAATTCAATTACCTGTCAAATCTGGACAGGACGTGTTGATATCAACATTCATCAATGAATGGCGTAACCTGGATAACAAGGGTAATGCTGAAATGCAAAGAGACCCAACAATCAAAAAACACCTTGTAGTAGATAGATGACAGAGGCAAGACATAAGAAAAAAGGAGAGAGACAGGGAAAAAGGGAAAAAAAGGAAAAGAAAAAACCGTAAGCGAGTATACAAAAACTCTCGAACGCGACTCATAATTAAAAATTAACATGACGCTCAGGCGGCGTGGACCCGACGTTTCGGTTGTCCGCCATACAACACTCCTTAGGGGTTTTCGGACCGCGGAGATACTGTTCATAAACAGCTACCTCTTTATATACGTGCATAGGTCTACACCAAAAACCACTGGAAGAAAATTCTAGTCCAAGGAAAAGCAAAGTAACCACTTAGACTAGAAGATAAAAAAGTAAGCCGAACTCCAAACCGCTTTGAACTCCGGACCTTAAAAGGTGTATCCTCCAAAATCGTATCGTAACTATCCAGGGCCACAAGACTAGTACCTTCAGGTCCATTCATAAAGGGAATTCATCTATCCAAACACCTCGGGAGAAATCATTGAAAAAATCCAGGGCTTCCACGAATAGATCAAAAGGTTCCAGCCTCCTAAAAAACATCGATTGACCTCCGTAAATTACACAGCCGATGTAGAACCACAGAACATCAGATCGAATCCTGTCGAAAAACTACAAGAACTAGAAATAGAAAGGATTCCAAGAAGTCCCCTGTTTGAAACCACAAATTCAACCAGACCCATAAGTCCTATGCTCGAAAACGCAGATCATGAAATCGAAATCCGTCTGAAAATCATCGGATCGAAACCTGTCAGAAAACCAAACGACTAAAAATGGACAGGAAACAAAAAGGTCCCCTACTCGAAAGACCTAACCCTCAAGACCAGTCATATTCATCAACAAGCGCCACAAAACACCAGTTCAAAAACCCTACTTGAAACGACTAAAAATGGACAGGAAACAGCAAGGTCTCCTACTCGAAAGACCTAATCCTCAAGACCAGTCATATTCATCAACAAGCATCACAGAACACCAGTTCAAACCCCAACCAAAGACTACAAAACCTCAAAAACAATAGGACTCAAAAAACATCTTCTCAAAACCAACCCCGAGCCAATAAAGCACGTCTCCACCAGTGACCCGAACCGCACAACAAACGAAAAAATAATAACCCGTTTGAAAACCGGTGCCTCTTTACAAGATACGACTCCACTGTGTCAGAAAAGGAAGCCAATGGTCCCAACAACCGGAGAATTTGGTTGAAAAGGACACGAGAGCATTGTCGAAAAAATGGTAAGGATAACCACGTTTCCAAAGCTCAACCTTCAATGTGAACAAGAAAGCAACCTCCAGGCCCGGAACAATAGTGAAGGACCGAGCACGATGAAAGAAGGAGATGATCACCGCCATTTTTTGCGGACGGCTAGAGAATGAGGAGTAATCTTGAATACTTTGAAAAGACAATGAATCATTAATCTCACTTCTTTGATTCTTGTGTACAGCCACACAAATCAATTTACAAGGATTTCTCAAAATCTTCAATACGCACAAAACAAAGTCCCAACAGTCACCCTCACCCGTCCTCTCAAGAACCAAATTAACATCGTAGCATTGTTGGAACTGTCGAAGTATATTCCTTGCTTTCAACTTTGACTGTCCACAGTCTTTTCGAAAACGTACAAACAAAGAAACATCGTCCACAATACGAAACTCACGAACCAACTTTCGGTCAGCGTCAAGCAACGGAAGGAAGGTAAACTCGTTGAAAGCACACAACAAACATACAAGCGTCGGACTGGTTGACTTTCCCATGGGGATACCGACAACTTGCCGCAAAAGAATACCAGAAGCAACGACGAAGGTGTTGTCGAGCTCGAATTTGATGAAGGAAAAAATATCAGAAAACTTTAGTAAAATCCAGCCCTCCTCGCACCTTCCCTTAGTCAACATAACGAGTTTCCCTTGTTTCCGGACCATAACTCCCACAAAACCTGTGCTATCCCAAGTGTCAATGACCCATTGCATCGCACATAGAATAGAATCATGCGGTAAATTAGAAAACATTTATTTAACGTCAAAAGAGCCGCCAACGACCTCCTCCTTTTCTCCCAAGGATTCATTCAACAACCGAATGTCGGGGACGAGATCTAAAGTGCAACGTAAATTAAAGTGACAAGAAGACGGTAGTTTCCATATAATCATGTTGACCGCACGAGAAACCCTTCGACTAGCTAGTGCATCGCCTTTAGGGTATGACGGACAAATAGGACGCCATCGAGATATGTCCTTATGTTTGGGCAAACAATAGGCTTGACCAAACGAACCGTTCTTGTCCCAACGACCAATCTTATGAAAAGACTTCTTTCAAAAATTTGCGCCACAATGCTCAACCACAGACTTCTCACTTTCTGCAACCCTCACAAAAGACGGGTTTTCCAAAAACAACTTCTTCATCCCTCGACCATACAACAGTGGACAAAAGACCAACGTGTCCCCCAAATTGTGGTCGATGGGAGAACACACAAAATGACCAATTCGACCACAATGATACAGTACCTCGTCAGATAAACTAACACATCCGGAAGAAACAGAGGTTACACAGCTGGAAAGATCACCAACCTCTTCAGTGCGGATAGATGGAAAAAAACCACAAGAGTTAAAAACTTTAATGATCTAACGAGAAATGGTGGACACCAGGTTCCCAACAGAAGGTCTGAGAACATTCTTAGAATTCTTCATATACTCCGGAAAAAGATTGACAAAATTCAGTCGGAAAGCCACTTGTCCTTCCATACGGGGGAACTCCAGGTCACAGTTAGCGCAATTACATTCAAAGTTTTCTTCCTGGGCATAGCTCCAAAAATTGTGGATCAGATCCCCAACAGTCCTATTTCTACACCACACTATACGCATCCTCCGAATGAGCACCTCCTTCCATGCCGAGTCAATGTGAAGATTTCGAACAATACCGGCACAGGCCTTACGAATTTCACATTTACAAAAACGATCATCGAACAAAATGCGAACGACTAATTGTTGTCGGACAGATACGCCAAACCGTGTCAAAATAACCCTAGAGAGAATAACCCTTAATCTCCCCCTTGTCCATTTTTCTTGGAAGCACCAAACAGTAGAAAAGGCAAACACTAATTTGCAAAACTCCCACTCACGTAAGTCCAATCGAGAAGAGGGGTTACTAAGAAGAAGAGATAGACGAGGTTTGAAGGCGAGAGACTTGGAACAAGAGGGAACAATAAAATGGAAGGTCAGCACGACCCCATCGGCGAGCCAGCCCCGAGAATCTCGAAGTTGATCACGACCAAAGCAGAAGGAAATAACAGAGGACCCGAAGCAACGTTTCAAAACCTTTAAGTTGTCTACCAAAAAGGAACCACCAAGACAGCTAACAGAGATCTTACAAATCCGATTATCTCGGGAGTGGTTCAAGATGTGAAGCAAACTGGTAGAAACGATCCCAACAGACGAATGGAAGAATAAAAACCCATGCTTAGAAGAGGAGGGACCAGTTAAAACCAACGATCTACTCCGCTGTTTCCTTCTCTCTCTTTTCCCCAAACGGCGCGTCTACACTTTTTTGGTTTGTCTTGAGAGTTCAAATCCGGACAGAAATGTCGAATAAAGAATTTCTCTATTTTCAACCGATCTTCCTCCGAACATTTGCAGATAGGAATAACAACGTACTGGTGAGCCCCGCACCTTCTCATCCATCGATACAGTCTCTCATTACGTCGCCCCTCAATCACCAAGTCCTGACTACTGACTCTATACACATGCTCGGCCCATCGCACATCAAGATTCCGTCCAGTACTACCAACATACAAATGACGACACCAAGGAGAGATGAGAACGTACACCAAAGGTCCACCCACATCCCTACCAGCATCATTGGACTTCCACCATTCAGAAAGATAAGGAGACAGCTTTGACGCCCAAGGAATTGCACCATGAAGAATAAGACCAATAACAACGATCCGAAAGAGAGAATCCAACAACTTATCTCGTAACAGACGGAATGACTGGTATCTAATTCGAGCACAAGACCTGGCGACCAACCACAAACTAGTCACGTTTGGGAGAGATTCTAAGATTCAGCAGAATCCCTCCCATCATTGGTTTCACCTTCTCCTCCCTTTCCACAGACGTCATCAGAGATCTCTTCGATAAAAATCGACTTACCCTTGTTATTAGGAAATGCGGCATCAGCCCGTTTAGTAATAATCTTTGTAACCGACTCGTGTAATGTAGAGTACTTGATGCCTTCCTTATCGCAGATGGCAACAACGTCATCCTTCTTCATGTTCCGAAACTCCTTTCTGGTTTCCTTCATGAACGCTTCACATTGCGCCACTCTTGTTCCCATCAGCGGATCACTCGACTTTTTCTTGCCTTTGCCCGTACGTCCTTCAGCAGAGCGCCCAACCTCATCGAGTCTTTCTCGTAGATTGGTACGTGGGGTTTGTTTCTCTGATTCCAACTTCGTCAACCGTTCTTTCATTTCGGCAAGTTGTTGTTCGTCTTCTCTTCGTCGATTCAATTCTTGCAACCTCAATTCCTTCAATGCGTTGACCTCCAGGTTATGAAGTTTCACCAGTCGACTCGGATCGCCTAAGGTACGCTTCCCAGCAGCAGACTTCACCGGAGTGACTTGTAATCCACTCTTGGCAGAAGGTGACAACGCAATATGAGTCCGTTTGTTGCCAGAATGGAGCGCCTCCCGTTTCCACGTCTCAGCCTCCTGTACAGCACTTTCATGCATAAGCTTCAATGAACGGATCTCATCCTCCATCAACTTCATCTTCTTTTGCACCCCAACAGTTCAAATTCATTTTTGCTTTCAATTCTTCTTGCTCCTTCATCAACAAGGCAATTGCATCGTCCTGATTACGATTGACAGTCGAAGTACTGGCCCCGCCATAAGCTTGCGCCAGAGTGCTCCGAAGACTGTCAATCTGTTTCTTCAGTCCTTCGATCTCCAGCGCGTTAACACCAGCATCCTTCTTACCCTTCATCAAATCACAGATACTGTCGAACCTAGCATTCATAGTAGCACTAAATTGTGCATGAAATTCTTCCCTCTCCTTCTTGTCCTTCATCCTTCGTTCTTCTTCTTCTTTTTCCTTCCGTGTCTTCTCTTCTTTAGCCTTCTTGGCGTTTTCTCTGGCGACTTCGGAATCATATCGAACCTTCATCAGTGCCACCGTTTCCTCCAGAACAGACACACACTGATTGGTCTGAAACCAACCGGCCTCTTTGTACCCCGTATTAGTAGTAGCCACGATCGTGGATGAAAAGGGAACATTAAAAGAAGGAGGAGGAGGAGGAGGGGGACAAGGCAACGCCAGTAGAGGGGCCGACGAGGGAGCCCCAACCAGATTGTTGTTATTGCTAACACAGTTAAGATTAACAGAATTTCGGTGGGGACACCAGCGAGCGAAATGATTAGGGTCACCGCAAAGAAAGCAAGTACGCACGTTGGAACCCGTTTGAGCCATTATCAATGATAACAGTACGACAACGAAGCCACACAACACGTAGTCTGACTCCTATGACGGTTACTTCGTGAGCTAAAGTGTTGATATGAATATTCATCAATGGATGACGTAACCTGGATAACAAGGGTAATGCTGAAATGCAAAGAGACCCAACAATAAAAAAACACCCTGGAGTAAACAGAGGACAGAGGCAAGACAAAAGAAGAAAGGAGAGAGACAGGGAGAAAAGGAGAAAAAGGAAAAGGAAAAACCGTACGCGAGTATACAAAAACTCCCGAACGAGACTCATAATGAAAAATTAACATGAAGCTCAGGCGGCATGGACCCGATGTTTTGGTTGTCTGCCATACAACACTCCTCAGGGGTTTTCGGACCGCGGAGATACTGTTCATAAACAGCTACCTCTTTATATACGTGCGTAGGTCTACACCAAAAACCACTGGAAGAAAATTCTAGTCATAGGAAAAGCAAAGTAACCACTTAGACCAGAAAATAAAAAACTAAGCCGAACTCTGAACCGCTTTGAACTCCGGACCTTAAAAGGTGTATCCTCCAAAATCGTATCGTAACTATCCAGGGCCACAAGACTAGTACCTTCAGGTCCATTCATAAAGGGAATTCATCTATCCAAACACCTCGGGAGAAATCATTGAAAAAATCCAGGGCTTCCACGAATAGATCAAACGGTTCCAGCCTCCTAAGAAACATCGATTGACCTCCGCAAATTACACAGCCGATGTAGAACCACAGAACATCAGATCGAATCCTGTCGAAAATCCTGTCTCTTATACACATCTAGATGTGTATAAGAGACAGGACGAAGGACAGACAGAAACGGGAAGGGAGAATAAGGAAGAAAGAAAAGGAGAAAAAAATCGTATGCGTGTTTACAAAATCTCCCGAACGCGACTTAAAACGAAAAATTAACATGAAGCTCAGGCGGCATGGACCCGATGTTTTGGTTGTCTGCCATACAACACTCCTCAGGGGTTTTCGGACCGCGGAGATACTGTTCATAAACAGCTACCTCTTTATATACGTGCGTAGGTCTACACCAAAAACCACTGGAAGAAAATTCTAGTCCAAGGAAAAGCAAAGTAACCACTTAGACTAGAAGATAAAAAAGTAAGCCGAACTCCAAACCGCTTTGAACTCCGGACCTTAAAAGGTGTATCCTCCAAAATCGTATCGTAACTATCCCTGTCTCTTATACACATCTGTGACCCGAACCGCACAACATACGAAAAAATAATAACCTGTTTGGAAACCGGTGCCTCTTTACAAGATACGACTCCACTGTGTCAGAAAAGGAAGCCAATGGTCCAAACAGCCGGAGAATTTGGTTGAAAAGGACACGAGAGCATTGTCGAAAAAATGGTCAGGATAACCACGTTTCCAAAGCTCAACCTTCAATGCGAACAAGAAAGCAACCTCCAGGCCTGGAACAGTAGTGAAGGACCGAGCATGATGAAAGAAGGAGATGATCACCACCATTTTTTTGCTGACGGCTAGAGAACGAGAAGTAATCTTGAATACTCTGAAAAGATAATGGATCACTCACCCCTTTGATTCTTGTGTACAGCCACACAAATCAATTTACAAGGATTTCTCAAAATCTTCAATACGCACCCAGCAAAGTCCCAACAGTCACCCTCACTCGTCCTCTCATGAACCAAATTAACATTGTAGCATTGTTGGAACTGCCGAAGTAAATTCCTTGATTTCAACTTTGACTGTCCGCAGTCTTTTCGAAAACGTACAAACAAAGAAACATCGTCCACAATACGAAACCCACGAACCAGCTTTCGGTCAGCGCCAAGCAACGAAAGGAGGGTAGACTCGTTCAAAGCACACAACAAACATGCAAGCACTGGACTGGTTGACTTTCCCATGGGGATACCGACAACTTGCCGCAAAAGAATACCAGAAGCAACGACGAAGGTGTTGTCGAGCTCGAATTTGATGAAGGAAAAAATATCAGAAAACTTCAGTGAAATCCAGCCCTCCTCGCACCTTCCCTTAGTCAACTTGACGAGTTTCCCTTGTTTCTGAACCATAACTCCCACAAAACCTTTGCTATCCCAAGTGGCGATGACCCATCACAACACACATAGAATAGAATCATGCGGTAAATTAGAAAACATTTCTTTAACGTCAAAAGAGCCGCCAACGACCTCCTCCTTTTCTCCCAAGGATTCATTCAACAATCGAATGTCGGGGACGAGATTTAAAGTGCAATGTAAATTAAAGTGACAAGAAAACGGTAGTTTCCATAGAATCATGTTGACCGCACGAGAAACCCTTCGACTAGCTAGTGCACCGCCTTCGGGGTTTGGCGGACAAATAGGACGCCATCGAGATATGTCCTTATGTTTGGGCAAACAATAGGCTTGACCAAATGAACCGTTTTTGTCCCAACGACCAATCTTCTGAAAAAACGTCTTTCGAAAATCTGCGCCACAACGCTGAACCACAAACTTCTCACTTTCTACAACCCTCACAAAAGACGGGTTTTCCAAAAATGACTTCTTCATCCCTCGACCATACAACAGTGGACAAAAGACCAACGTGTCCTTCAAATTGTGGTCAATGGGAGAACACACAAAATGACCAATTCGACCATAATGATACCGTACCTCGTCAGATAAACTAACACATCCGGAAGAAACAGAGGTTACACAGCTGAAAAGATCACCAACCTCTTCAGTGTGGATAGATGGAAGAAAACCACAAGAGTTAAAAGCTTTAATGATCTGACGAGAAAGGGCGGACACCGGGTTCCCAACAAAAGGTTTGAGAACATTCTTATAATTCTTTATATACTTCGAAAAAAGATTGACAAAATTCAGATGGAAAGCCATATGTCCTTCCATACGAGGGAACTCCAGGACGGCCTTTCAGGCTTTTTTTATTGTCATTATAGTATTATGGGAAACCCCGTAGCAGCCACATCCGTGCTCAAGTCTCCAACGAGGGAACATGCGGGAGCTGCACCCACCAGGAGGTGCGATACCTGCTAAAGCAGATGGGCGATACCGGCAAGGGGTCAGCCGGTAGCATCAGGACCGAGCTTCTTCGATGGGCCAGTCACTGTGCCTCCCCTCCGGTACCCTACCCCTATGAACATCAGCAGTCTCTGCTCAATGCCACTCGGGGGGACCAACGACATATCTCTAGGTGGTGGGCGCCAAACTTGCCCAGGAAGGTACATGAGGCCAATGGGGATTGAACCCAAGACTTCCCGAATGCCACTTGCGTGCCTTTTCGGATTTAGTCCGTGGATAACCGCGATCGACGGCTACTATCTGGTCCGGCCTCGCCCCCAAAGCGTCTATTGAAACATGCATACGTCGTCCCTTTCGATCTTTTTTTGCTGGTAAAAATTTGTGTTATACCCCTCAAAGTTGAGATATATGCCGAAATGCCCCTAAAAGATGTCGGTCGAGCGGTATGCCCTTTTAGCCTGCAAATGTTGCGAGAAATTTTGCAAGATGCCCCTGTCAGGCTGGGGCGCAAAATTTAAACCACCAGTACCTTGCCCAGCTATGCAGTCCGACCCTCCTGCTACCTGTATGACGTCAGACCCTCCGGTTACCTGTATGACGAGCCTGCCGGGCCTGGGAATGCCAGTAGCAGGGCGGGCTGAGGCCGGGGGGAGCAGCGAGGAAAAAAAAAAAAAACAACGAGAAAAAACGTTGGGGACGTGAATGCAGTTGCATGCATCCTCCAAAGTCTGAGTGTGATCAAGGGGCTAACTTCAGTAGAGTCAAAAAAACGAGTTATAATTGAACTATGGGCCAAGATACAGTTTGCAATTACACTTCGGGCACCCTACCCAGGCTGAGAGGTGGGTTGTATGCATTATCCGAACTGCAATTTGAAACTGTATCTTGGCCCATAGTGCGATTATAACTCGTTTTTGTGACTTCCCCGTAGTTTCCCCCCAAAAGAAAGAAATGTCACCGCTTGAAACTGTATCTTGGCCCATAGTGCGATTATAACTCGTTTTTGTGACTTCCGCGTAGTTTCCCCCAAAAAGAAAGAAATGTCACCACGTTATCAAAAACTTGAGGAAAGAAGAAGAAAGAAAAAAATCCTCCTCTTCCTAGCCAATTCGTCAGTCGAATGCATTATCGGAAATGGTAATGTAAGTATGCCCTCCATAAGTGCGTTTCAGCGAATCGCAGAAACACCCTGCGAGACTGGGAGAGGAATCTAAACAAAACGAAAATAACAACAAAAAAAAAGAAAAAAAAAGAAAAAAGCTAGGCTACCAGCCAAGCCGCCCGGGTCATCCTTTTTTCCCGGACGGCCCATCTGTACAAGGACAATGGAAGGTCCTAGCAAAAAAAAATAAAAAAAAAATTGAAAAAAAAACTAGGCTACCAGCCCGGCCGCCCGGGTCACCCTA